CTGTTAAGTAAGTTTATGAGCATTTTACAATCTGAAACTTCACTAATAAAAAGTTTCAAGTTAACAAAACTTGAGCAACTACAAGGCCATGTTAATGTAAAGAAATTCAGCAAGCATTGGATACAAAAATTCACACTTTCTTTACTGTTGTTGGGTATTAACATCTGAAATCTTCCCCTTATGACTTCTTTTCAGGAAGGACATATTTGGATTGTTGCGACTGTAGTGAATCTTCTACTTGAAAAAGAATGGTCATATTTGGGGTGCAAGAGATGCTCGAAGAAGGTTGACAAAATTGGAAGTAAATTTCACTGCAAGAAATGTGATCGCCTTGATAGTTTTGGCACTCATAGGTTTGATAATCTTAACTATTTACTGTGAAAGAACTAAAGTTGCAAGTTACAAAAATAAGGACAAATTTTGTTATCAAATATTAAATAAACTAAAGTTTCAATACATCATATCTAAACGTGTTTTTCAGGTACAAGCTTCGAGTGCAAGTAATGGATCACACTGGCTTTATAAATTTGTTGCTTTGGGATCGTGAAGCAACAACTCTCATTGGGAAGTCTGCTAATCAGTTAAATGAAATTTCAATTGAGGTATATTTTATTTATTTGATTCAACCTCTATACATAGTTAAACATCTCTAAAAATACATATATGGACTATGGTGTGTGCTTATTGTCTACATTCACTGTCTTAAAATCTTGATTGTAAAATTAAAAGTATTGCAGTTGATGTGGTTTATTTATTCATTCTCTTTGAATTTGTTGTTTTATGTCAGTTATTCTCATGTTGGGTAATTGGTTTTGGTTTCAAACAGACAGTAATTATGCGCAAAAGCTATATTTGGTATATATAACATTTCTAATCTGGAGTGTGTTAGTACCAAAGTTTTGCTTTTTTTCATCGGCCAAAATAATTGGTTAATATATTGTATTCAAGAAATGTACATCTTCTCTTTCACAAATATATCATTCTGTTGTAGGTAGATTATGAAGTGAAAATTACCACAAGCTTTCTATGTGTCAGAAAGCTTTAGCTGGTCTACCCTTTGATTGATCCAGGCTTTTCTTTTCTTAGGTAGTGAATCACCTAATAAAGATGTAGGCGTGCACGTCTTATTTGATACTGCTTGGGTACCAAAAGTCATGTCATTGGTCCAAATCATACATAGTCAAATTTTTTGCTTTTTATATCGAACTAATGGAATAGATTCATTCAGTAATTTTCATATTAAGCGTGACTCAACGGTAGCGTAGGCATGAAAAATGAAATGCCAACTCTATTGTATATTTTCTTATTATTTTATTTTATTGTATTTTACAATTTCTAACACTATTTCGGTCTTAGGCTTCTGCTGACGTTGATGAGTGTTCTTATCCAGTGGAGTTGTATGATATTCTTGACAAAAAAGTGCTGTTTAAAAGTGACTGTCAAGAGCTCAAAACATTAAAGTGCATCAAGAAATTTATAATGTTGTTAAAAATCTAGCGAGGACGATAACCTATACACAATATAGTCAAATCTAGCACAAAGATAAATTCACTGTATGTGATCGATACTCAAAATACTTCATAATACACTATTTTTTCTTTTGATTTTATATAAGGGAATATCAAGTTTAAATTAATTATGTTACTATTTTCTTAATAGGACCCTGATTTTGAGTGTCAACAACACACTGATGCAGACACAACTTTCAAGGTGACTAATTCAAACTTTGCCTGTATAGCTTCTTATCTACAATATGGTATTTAATGATAAATTTTTCCTTTGTAGGATTCAATGGCTGAAAATGATATGACTTCTCCTGCAAATACCCCTGCCAAAAGAAGTAGAGAAGAGGATGGGTCATCTGTAGTAGATGTTGGTGATGATCTTGCACAATTTTCAAGTAACAAGCTTAAAAAAGTGATCAAACAGGAGAAAAATCTGTGAATTGAAACATTTACTTTTTGGATTATGACTTTATTCGTACAATTTTATTAGCAAGTACTTTGGTACAATTTGAAGTAGTTTGGTTTGAATTTTTATTTGGTTTCTAGCATTTTGGATCATTAGCAAGTATTTTGGTACAATTTGAAGTAGTTTGGTTTGAATTTTTATTTGGTTTCTACCATTTTGGATCATTAGCAAGTGCTTTGGTACAATTTGAAGTAGTTTGGTTTGAATTTTAATTTGGTTTCTACCATTTTGGATCATTAGCAAGTACTTTGGTACAAGTTGAAGTAGTTTGGTCTGTATTTCAATTTGGTTTCTACCATTTAGGATCATGATTTAATATCTTGAGACAGATGGGCCATTGCCACTGCGATCATATGAATGATATTTGTTATTAAACATATAAGCTGTTTACAACAATTAGTTGGTAGCATTTCCATCTTTGATGTACAAAATATTTTGCTTGAAATTATTGAAGCCAAGGTTTATCACATGATAGGCTTCTACTGCAAACTCTCATAAACAAAATGAGCTACTACTAAGAGGTACATCTGAATTTAGCTAGAACGGTAGAGGTCTAAAAAACTTCATCTACTAATACTTGGAGAATATGCGTATCAACTTTAGTGCCACACTCAAATGTCTCAATGTCGAAATCTATCCATTTACCCAAAGAATGGCTCATATCCCTCCTCAAATTGTCGTCAAATTGTTGTTTGGATCCTCTCATCAGGGATCAAATCAACAAATTCTGTCCACACTTTGACCTCTTCAATAATATCAGCAATCAGAATCTCTTTAGTCATAATTGATGGTTTTTTGATCCATGTTCTGAAACCAGAATTAGAGTATCGACCAAATGTCATGTCTAGGTACTATATTACACTATCAAAGGCAAATCCTTTAAGCTCATTAATCTGTTTGGATCGTTACAGCCGAGCAACTGACCAAAAGTCATCCATAAAAGACTTGATATCATATCAAGTTCACTGACGAGAAAATGGCTCATATAACAACTGACAAGAACTCCAAACATACTAAATTCAGTATAGGGACATTGGAAGTAAAACCAAGTAGAAATCATCATGCTGTATATAATAGGATTGGGACTAGGGGACGAAAAAGACATAACATTGAAAGGTCTAGAAGCTGTGAAAAAATGCAGCAAAGTGTATATGGAAGCTTGCACTTCACTTCTCTCTTTTGGTCTTTCTCCCAATGGCCTTTCCAATCTGGTTCGAAAAATTACTACTACTACTAAATTTTTATTGTAATTTCAGTTCCAATCGTTAGCTGTTAAAAAAGATATGATTTTGATAATAAAGTTTGTAAATTTTTTCAGGAAAATCTATATGGAAGATCAATTGCAATTGCAGATAGGGAAATGGTAGAGGAAAAAGCTGATGAGATCCTAATGAAGCTCAATCTTCTGACGTGTAAGCTTAACAAAGTTCAGCACTCAAAATGACCTCTTTGCGTGACTGAGTTTGCTTCCTTTAACTGATCAATCATATCAGCACTCCAGAAATGTGTTAGCATGGTCTGACATCAGTGC